AAGCCTAACTAATACCAGCAGAGGAGACAGGCCAGTCTTGTGGAACATTGTCATTACAGAGGTTGTGCTCTTGGTGGAAGACATGGCTGGCCAGCAGGCCTTCACATCAACAGGGAAATCCAAATTTAGCTTGGGGAGAGAAAAGCATTGTGCTGAGCACAGCTTGTTGAAAGGGAATTAGACTGAAACATGTTCACAGCCTGTAATCTTTTATTTGTTTGTACACTTGTCTCATGTAATCTGCTTTCTAGTAATGCAGAGATGATTTCCTAAGTCATGCTGGGGAACCAGTGGATAATAGTTACAGGTGGGCTGTTATCACAAAGCACCGGAGGTTCGTGCAAATGTCAAGTTATCCACTTGCGATTGATGGACTCATAGGTCGCTACGAGTTTAAGAAGGAATTGTAACGAAACAGAAAACAGCAAGATTTTTCATAAAGTCGATGAGCCAATGCATAAAAAGCTAATACTTTTATAGATTTATGGGAATGCATTCAATATTATAAATGCTATTTAGTGCCAGTTGTGCCTGATAACAGTCAAGCAGGAAGCAATCAACCCACTGCTGATGCCTGAGCCACCAATCTACACACTTACAGACCTTCCCACACACACAGACACACTTTATCATTTCAGTGTAGCCTGTGGCTCTAAAATACAGCACATCAAAACAACCTGTAAGTTTCATTTCTGATGCCCTTGAAACCTGCTGACTGGCCATACTGTCCACTACCTGACACTTTGAAGCGTGCCTCATCTCAGTCGTCTCCTCTGCCGCGTTTCTGTGAGGTCCTGAGAAGAAACGATGGACAACATGTCACGGCCTCGTTTTTCCTGCTATGTCAGTGTAACAAAACCCTCATGCACCAAATTTGAAAATTCAATCAGTGGAGAAATTGGTATTCCTCAAACAAACAAAAAATACATATCTATACTGCACAGACTGGATTTTTTAAAAAGTGTGTAAGCATATCAGTTTGCTTTTTTGTCTCTCTTTTTTACCTCGGGTTTAAGTCAGTTTCTACAGAGAAAGGGGGCAGGGCAAAAGCAGTCCTAAAGGTGCTGGTGCTTGTATGTGATGTGGGGATGTGTTGTGCCCATCTGGCAGGACAAGGTTTAGCCCTAATCCCAGAGCCCCTCTGCAGGGGAGCCCCAGACTGTTGATCACTGCCCCCCTGCTGGTTCCTCCACACCCCTGACCTCAACACCACATAAACGCACAGACTGCTGGCAGAACAGAAGAACACAACACAACTGCACATAAACAGCAGAGCAGTGGTCAGCTTTACACTTCCATATTCCACTCCGGCAAATAGTGCCTTATGATATTCAAGTTGCAGGTCAGTACTGAGTTCGGTGACCACTAAGTACACACAGGCAAAAGTGTCCGCTGCACAAACAGAAACACAGAGGAAGACGAGAAAGAAATGTGACCCTAACAGAAAGGAAAACAGAGAAACATACCCACACACATGCAGAGGGCACGGAGAGACTTGTTTTTGTGAGGCAATATGGAATAACTAATTTATCAAACGCACAACTATAGACAGAGTAAATATACACACACATAATTACAAAAACATAGACGGATAGGCAAACACACAAAGACACCCAGAAGCAGTCACCCAGCCATACACACCACACACCTAACTACTGATAATCCCCCAGACACAGGAACACACACACACACTCACACACACATACATACAGAGCATCATTATGTTTATCACTGTGAACCAGCCCACCGACACCCATCATTCTAATTCCATTTGTCTGTTTAGATTCGTTTTGCTTTAATCCTCCCTTGTTTGTGCACATCTGCAAGCACTGCAATAGTACAGACCGAGAACGAGAGGAAGAGAGAGAGAGAGGTACAGAAAGAGACAGAAAGCAAAACAGAGAGAGAGAGAGCTCACAGGGAGCACTCTCCCTCATGACATCCTGGTCCCTGTAGCTCCAGCAGAAGGGGCAGACAGGCGTATCTCCTTGCCCAGGGAGAAGCTCCCTGTCCCAGCCACGGAGCCGTCGCCAGGCCCGGAGGCCCCTATAATCACTGCAAACAGTCAAACATCCAGTCACACAGGCTCTTACACCAACACAACATTACAGGCTTTTTACACAGTATTACACCACATCTTATTATCCCATTCAAGTCCCTCTATTAGCTCAATTGGATGGTGGGATTTTCATTTGTAAATTGGGGGATTTCAGATTAGCTTGTCTGTCAGCGATGAAATGCCCCCTGAGACTGTGAATTATGTGACCAATCACATATGAATCAATGCTTACGCATGCTGCAGCTGCATGAATGGATGGTGTCAGCAAGAAGAATTAAAACAACTTTAACCTAGATTACGTGTTGGGTGTACAGTACACATATTTAATCAATGGTCACAGCTGCAATGCACAAATGCCACCGTTTCAATGTACACCCCACAATAAGCAGTGTAGGCTTTATGTGGCAAATAATATTCAGGTCTAATGGGGAATTATTAAAGAGATAAATATTAGCTTCCGTACACACCTAGCAGCAACATTATGCAGAACTGAAGCTGGTTGGTTGAAAGGAAACGAATGAATTACCCTCTTCCTCCCCGGGCCTTCCATTCAGATACAGAGTGAGGGAAAGAGAGGCAAGAGAGAGGAAAAAAGGCACCCCGAGCTAGTCGAGAGACCCGGCAAATTATGAAAATGCCTCTCTGTGTCCTAAATGGAGGCCGAGCTCTTTAATGTGGCACAAAATTAGAACCTGGGGGAGGAAGTGTGGCCCGCTTGATTGGCGAAACCCCTCCTGGCCCACTACCCCCCTTCTTCTCAAAGCACACTGAGATATTATCCAGTGCCTAGTGGCGCTCTCTTGTACTGGGAAAAGTGAAGGACCCCAGAGAGAGCCCAGGGGCGTCCATAAAGGTGCCTAATTTGTCAGTTTACTCCTCAATTATTTAAATAGATCTAAGAAGGGAGCGGAGAATGAGGCTTTTTCCTGCCTCTTCTCAGTCAAAGCAGAGAGACCTTTCTCCACGGTAGCCATTTTCAATTACGCTCCGCACTGCTGTCTTTGATATACAGAAGTGCTGTAGTGGAGCGGGGCTGTATCAAATAAACAAATGTGTGTACACAAGATAACAACGGGAACTTGGGGATAATATTCAGCCTGCTCGAAAGAACTCAAAGTTATTTCACATTTACAAATTTGCAGATTAAAACAAACTTTGTGGACACGTGCACACACAGGAAGCACACAGACACACGCCGAACGTTTTTCATCTGCTAAAATGTCACGAGGGTATGATCGTACACACCGTACATGTACACTTTTATCCGTGAGGATTAAGGTACGGTTTGGATACAGGGGAGGGACCTATTGTTACTCATCCCTCTGCTCTCCTGTCCATCTACACCATCAACCTACAACCTCATCTCCCGCTATCCTATCAACCACGCACACCCAGCTGGAGTACCAACTCCAACAGCCTGGCAATGCCACCTCCCCGCCAGAGAGACCACTGGAGGTATATGGAGCCTGGGGGCAGAGATTACCAAGCGGTTGAAAATTGATCCTGGAAATAGAGATGTTGTATTCCCCAACCCTCTGACCTCTAATCCCTCGGATATCTTCCTCTATTGTTTGGTTTGATTTACTATTGGGAGGAGGCTGTGTGGGCTAAAGAGGACCAGGATGCTGTGAAGCTGCAGGGGGGTCCACAACCTGATCACTCACAGGTTTTTGGTGCAGGCAGGTAACGGACCCTCTCTTTCTCTAACAGCTGTGCCACAAACCCCAAGTGAGATAAACTCATCTCTCAAACAGTAAATTTCAATAAGCACTATTTATACGTAGGCAGCATTGGCAGTGCAGGATCCAGCTGCAGTACAACGGTATAGGTGCAACTACACAAAGACATGAGCAGGAAGACAATGTCAGTTTTTTTTAAACACAGTAAAGAAACTTACAAATACAACATACAAACAGTAACACAATGCAGGGCACTACAAACACCTGTACAAATAAACTTGCACACATGCTGCACCTGACATGCAAACACTGGCCGCCACACACTGTGGAAACACAAATCAAGAGTGATGGCAAACGGAAACCTGAGAAAAGTCAATCATGATGTCAACACAGACTGATGTTAATGGGCCTAATTCTACGCAATACACATTCAGGAGAGCAGTTAATTTAGCTAAGATAACAGTAGTGCTACCTCTGAGAGAAGTTTAAGGTTACAGTGTGCCTGCTCACAGGAGTTGGTGTTTCAGACAAACCTGCAGGCAAATGTTGTTTTTTGAATACATTTGCATGAAGGAAGTAAAACTCTTGAGATTTAGAATGACTTTTGTGGTAGAGTCCAGTGCACACAGAGGCACTGCATGGGTCCAAACTCAGCACCTCCTTACACTTAGACAAAAGTGAGGACTGTTTATCTGCTTTAAGTCAGCTTTTTTACATTTTCTCATACATGTTTACTTGATACATACAGTACTGTCTTCTATCTTTACCTCTTGCATTCATGAAAAATGCCAAAGGTAATACAGTTTAACAAGTACAAAATAGTATTTTTGCACCAATAAGTAGAGTCGCAAAGAGCTATTAGCTGAAAACTAGGCATGTTTTGGCATGGTGTGCAATGTGTCACAAAAAAACTGAGGAAACTCGATGAATAGAGGACAGAAGAAGTGGCAGGCCTCAAAACCATCTACTGCCTAACTAAAGGCTCATCAGAAAAGGTCTCAGTGGCTGTTAAGAATTCCTTCTTGTGGAAGGGAAGCAGGGTGAAAAAAACTGAGGTATTCCAACTTAGACAAGAACAGGACTGGAAATCAGTAGTGGAGGGATGAATGCAAGCCTGGCCTCCCCAGAGCCTGCACCTCAATGTTACCAAAGGAGTGTTGGATCATTTTGACAGAAGAAAAGGCAGACAGCATCCAGAGAAATATTACTAAAGACAACTTAAAGAAAATACAAGAAAGCTTGCCTACGAGAGTTCAGGCTGTGTTGAAGAATAAAAGTGGTCATACCAAATATCGACTTTCAAGCTTGTTAGAAATGTACAAACTGTTTTTACCTCATATACTGTATCTCCATGTACGCTTGCATGTTTCAATAAACTGCTCAGGACTTGGACAGTCACTTTCATGACTAAATCATAGTATGAAATGAAACATACGAGTCTTAGGAGGAAAAAAAACATTTCTTTTTGCATGGGACAGCAATGTTAAGCTAACAAATATGTGCAGACTTTGGTAAAAGGCATTGGCAACCTTTACAAGGATGGGTGGCACCTGGTAAACATCCTTGACACAGGTTTCTCATGCTTAAGAAAGGGATCTGAAGGCAAAGTTTTTCAGAGTGTAAGATTTTGCAAAATCTGTGGCCAGCTCAGTATATCATGCCTCTCACACCCTCTATTCTCTTCCCAAACACTAACCAACACACCCCAGCCCTCCGCCTCCTTCCACTCCAAGCTCCCATCCAGCCAGAGAGAGGAGTGGAGATAGGCCCAGTTGCTAAAGCTGTCTTTTCAGCCCCTGCTCCCGCTCGGTCTATCTGAGATACACAGCAAGCGGAGGTGTCGCTTTTCCGCTGGCATTTCGGACAGTATCTACTTATAGACGAGAGAAAAGGAGAAAAGAAAAACAGAAGGGGTATTATCAGGGAGGGATGAGAGCAGCAAAGGCATTTTGTCTTTTTATTCCCCTCCTAAGCCCTGGGCTTTGCTCCCAATCCGATTGGTCGATACGGCCAGGGATGTAAATGAAATGCAAAGAGGAATAAGGCTGGCTTCCCATCTCCAGTGTGTGCCCCCCTAAGTCCCCCGCCCCTCTTTCTCTGTCTCACTCTGTCTTGCTCTCTGGCTGTTTATGGCGTTGTGTTTCTGTTTCCCCATTCACAGACTTGCTGCTCTCCCTGTTTCTGTCTCACCCTCCTCACTCTGCCTCTGCGTCCTCCCCCACTTCGCGCCTCTCCCTGGCTGGGCTCACAGCTCTTATCTCCTCAGACGCCCCACATTCCAGCGTTGCCGTGGCTCCCTGCCTGCATCCCTGGTCACGGCGATTCCATGGGTTCCCACAATCCTCGGCAGCTTGCTGATTTAGGGTGGGCAAGTGACTCTCAGAAACGGGAGAGAAGAGGAACAGAGGGGTTACGGAAAGACAGAGTGAGAGGGGGTGGGAGGCGGGGAGGGTGGGTGACAAGAGGGGGATGATAAAAGGAAAGTAAGGTAAAAATAAGAGGGGATGAGCCATGTGGCAGCAGATAACTGATGTAAACATTAAACTACACCAATACAGTCAAGTGAAGTTAAAAAACACGATTTAAACTCGCATTATTCATTTGCCTGCAATGTCAAAACAACAAATATGATAACATTTTTGATCAAAAATACTACATTTCGGAGCAGAGCACAAAAATACGTAAAAAAATCTTTATTGAAATATTTTAATCTGTAGAAAGCAGAATGACAGTTTCCCCCTTGTTTTTATGTGAAACCAAACCATCTGCGCTACAGCAGGTCGAACCTCATCATCCAGCCAGCTGACAGCCGCTAACCAGGCCTGCGAACACAGAGGGCAGATTACATTCGGAGAAAACTGCACATGCACTCACTGTCCCTCGCTTTCCGCTGGTATCTCAAACAGCAGGCTTCTTCAGAAACGTTTTATAAAGCTTATGGCAAAATGCTGATGTGACCTCTGCACAACAAATTTCATGGCACGAGGTTCATTAACATCAACACTAACATTTTTAAAAACAGTGTGTAACCGATGCGTCAGATACAAGGGCGTACTTCAGGGGTGTTCTTCAAACAACCCTGGTCCAGTCAGACTAAGTTTGACGGCACCTCTTCCCGACATTCACAGACCTGAGATTCCATTTTTCTGTGAGTCGAGTATTGAAAATCTTGCGTATCTGCGTTTGTCCGTGAACTTTCCATGACTTTAATGTCCATGTCTCTCTAATGATCAAAGCATTTTGCTTTTCAGTGTGCCGATCCTTTTATCGAATAGGTTTATGAGCAATTCTGGCAAGGAGAGGGGGCTGAGTGGAGATTTAAGCATGTTCTCACACACATGCAGACCCAAATCAACATAGATGCCCACATGGGCACACGCACGAACGCACCTCTAAAAGGGTCCCTGGCATTGTGACATTTCACATTTCATTTAAATCCAAGAGGGATTACCGCCCTCATGTTAGGAAGGAAGAGAGAGAGGGGGGGGGGTAAAAAAGCACTCATCGAATCCATTAGTTTTAAACATTTAAAGGACCATCTAAGATAGACTGATGGAAGGATAGAGGGGTGGGTGGGTGTGTAGGGCTGCCACTGATGTGGAGTGAGGCTGCGTGGCACAGCACAAGTCTGTCCTAGATTAAACAGCCGCTCTAATCCCCCATTTCTGCCCCCAAATTGGGTTTCCCTCAATCTCGGTCTTGCCATCCTAATGTGAGAAAAAGAAGTAGAGCAGAGGCTGAGGCAGAATAATCAGCACGTTAAAAGCTCTGAGAGCAGAATAGGAAAAAAAAGGGGGGGGGAGAACGAGATGTAACGATAAAGCAATTGAATGGGTGACTTTAAGAGAAGCGTGCAGAGCTTGATTGAGGTCAGGCAGGGCTTCCTAAAGTCATGCCCTGCCGCTGGTCAACTGTAAACATTCATCAAATGAGACGTAGCACAGTGTTAGCTCTGTTTGGTAACTTCAAACAAGAACTTATCCACCAGCATTTCCCTTCATTTCAAATTCTGACATACAAGTCCAATTTGGCACAGTACATTCAGCCAAACTTAACACCAGTGCACCAGTCTTGATCCACATAGAGCGTCACCTTAAAACCACACAAAGAGGCACATTGGCTCAGCCATAATTTCCATTGTTCCAGCTCCGTGGATCTTATGGGGTTTGCCTCCGGCTCTGTCGGAATCTGTCTCTCTCTTGGAGCAGGTGAGTAATGGCTGAGCGGATGGCGGGTGCCTGGGGATCAGTGGGATCCTTCTCTAAGTAAAGACTGAAGTGCTGGACACTGCAGGTCAGTAGGCTGTCTGCACTGTAACCCCTGTGACCGGAGCGGAGCAGCCTCTCGCAAGCCAGAGCCAGGTTCTTGTCCCAGTTTGGAGGATAGTCGGAGTGGGCCTCAACAATCTCCTTATATAGCTTCCCGGCAATAAAAAAAAAAACAGAGATAAACATAAAAACATTCATGCTTTTCCTGATGCATTTTAATCTGCCCTACTGTGGTAAAGTGTTTGCAGGTGGGGGTCAGACTCACAGTGTAAGACAGCTCAAAGAGGCGAGCTTTCCCCTCTCCCTGCATCCTTTCAGCCAGGTCAAACAGAAAGAAAGCCGTCTTCATCCTGAAACAAAGCACGCAGGCTCAGGGCTAAGTGCTGGATGGATGAGCCATGCAGATCTACACTCTCAGACGCACCACTCCAACGGAGTGATTTATGTAGATGCCGGCACCAAATACATTGTACGTGTAGATGTTTTACCACACAAGACTGGTTTATGGAGATGTTCTGGTGGGGCAATATGCATCGTGACACAGCTTTTTATTTACGCTCGAAAGTATACATCCACTTCAAACAAGAAAACTAGCATCCGCTGTAAAGCATTCAGCATACCTGGCTTGCCACATCTCTTCATTAGCAACACGCTCCCAGGATGCAGGATGGAAACTGTTCATACATGGGGAGAGAAAAAATCTTTTCTTTATCTAAACCACCTTCAGGCACCGCGCTGGCTTATTCACAGTTCCACTAACTATAAATGATTATTTATGTGAATATATTGTTCCACTTGGCTGTGCAGGTTTTGATACACTAAACATCAATGTTTGCTGCATAAACATTAAGTGACTGAGCAACAATACCAGCTAGCACATTAGACATGGAGTAAAACCACATCTGCCTTTTTTTTCCCCACTTTGTTGACTGTAAACACTTGACCTCTTCTTCAAAAGAATATTTTAGCAGGGTTTCCGAGCTAATATTTGGCTTGTGGGCATCGGCAGACACGCTTGTCGTGAGGGTGCGGGAAATAATGTCACAGTATTCAGCCGTGGATATCTGAGTGAATGAAGGGCTCCTGGCAACAGCAACAAAATATGGAGCTTTGACTAATTCCACTTTTGACACAGTTATTGACAAAACGCAATAAGAAACTCATTATTTTTCATCTTCAGTCTCATTTCAGATGGCTAAGGGCCTAATGTCTTGCTCTGGTAAAATTCACAAAGAGCTGGATCACAGCATGGAGAACAGAGGACAAGCCCACTGAGGGACGTTCTGTGGAGTCTGTGGAGGGACGACTGAAGACCACAGAGAGAAAAGTGAGCACTGAGATTTTTTCTTTTCACTCCAAAGGATTTGTTTATTTTCTTGGCCAACAGCAGACCTTAAAAGTTAAACCATGCTAATTTTTAACCATTTAAAAATCAGCGACGCTGAAATGTTATGAAAATTCAAATGAAGATCAAAGAGATCTAACTTTTCTAAAAACATTTAACAGGTTAGGTTGAATTTCAGAGCAATGAGGATAACATGACATCCCCAACACCAATCTAAATATAAATTATTTTAATAGTATAATCCAGGCTGAAATACGCATGAAGGTAAGAGTTAACTGTTAACCTGTTGTGTGGATCACTCCAGTTATAGATATTGCGTGTACGATGAGCCCACTCTTCAGGGTGAAACTGCTTCTGAACGGGCGCTAAGTAGTCACACACACCCAGGGGCCAGCGGGAATAACTGTGTTCCCAGCTCAGGTCTCCATCAGGAAGCCCGATGCAGGCAAACACATCCCTCCTGCAGAAAAACAGAGACAAACTCTTAAATAGAGGCGTGCCCTCAGTCTTTATCTCCGGGTAGCTGTTTATAATGACACACACAGTGACAACATGGAGACAGAAATTTCCTCACATCCCAGCACCTTCTAGGTTCCCATCAGCCCTGCGCTTCTCACAGACCCCGAGGGTTAATCCCGCAGGTCAGTGTTGCCCCCACAGAGATACATATATGTTGGCCTGGCAAACACTGCCCCCTGGTGGGCTTGGTATTAACAAGGCACTATCCAATTTCTGGATCTCAGTTCCTCCTGAAGGAGTGAATCATGGGAGCAGCAGCAAGTCCACCAGAGACCGTTTAACCAAATCAAGTAGATTAGCTGACTTTTGTAGTTCATCAGACTCCTTTTATGGCCTCAACAGTTCTGTGGGCTTATCTTGTGCTTGCACTGTGTCGACCATTCTGCTGATCTCTGCCTCATTAGATCACCCACTTGTTCATTGTTGCCCTCCCAATTCACTCACTCTCTCTCTCTTTCCATTTAACATCCTTTTATTCCCCCTCTGCTCTTTTCATGTGTCTGAGACACTCACTGCGTGTTGCGGGACAGAAATTGATCGAGACTGAAGGTGCCTTTCTCCTCGGGGTTGACCGGGTCCCACCAGCGGCCGGGAAAGTGGATCCCAGGGTGGTGCTGTGCCAGCTTGGCCACATACCAAGCATATGTCATCATCTAGTGAGAACAAAGAGCACCACCAATCCCAGAGAAATATTTATAACCAGTCGATTATCAGTTAAACAATCATCAGAGCAATTAGTTTAAAGGGATTTTTGTGTCATTATATCTTAAAGCAACTGATGAATCATAGTGATAACATATACAAACTAATAAGTATATAAGACAACACAACCAATTTATAAGGCCTCTACTTGCTGACTTAAGGGTCTAATTTACGATTTTCAATGAATTTCTTTCAGTTACCACAAAGCTGATTTTTACATTTTGCCAAAATATGTAAAACATTATATTATCATGAGAAATCACACTTCATTCACATTTTGTCCTTTATTTTTTAAATCTCTTTTGAATACAGTGCGGTTTTAATGGACAAGAAAAATAAGACAAAACAGTTTCGTCATAAATAAAATTCCTTAACTTATATTATGAAGGAAAAATCTTTTCAATACAGGGAACAGGGAAAACCTCCTGACCTCCTGATCAACCAGGCGTACATCAGGCCGTACGCCCTGGCAGTAGTGCAGGTATCGCAGAGAATTTCCAGGCAGATCTCCTCTGGTCAGGATGATTGAGTCTTTGGAGAAGGAGGCCAGAAGCTCCCTGCCGAACCTCTCCACCACAGTGTTCCCACTCTGATCACACTCCCTAAGATCATCAGCACATATGCAAGCAATTACTCTACACTAGCATCAAAACAGAAGTTGCATTTTCTCCCATTTTAAAAATGGTTAAACACATCTTTACCCCTGCTCAGAAGTGTGTGTGAGATGTGTGCAGCAGTGTATATGTGAGTGTCTGTAGGTACGCTTTCAAGGTGCTCTGAGGGTAAGTTGTCAGTGCCCCCGCCCCTTCCCCTCACTCTAGCTGCCTATCTAATCGTGGGGAGACAGGTGTGATGGGTCTGACAGCACAGGCCATGCTCTCCCCTTGATCAAAGCCGCTCAGTGATGGCTGTCTGGCACTCCCCAGCGCTACGCTGGTGTAATCTGCCTTCTCGGACAGCTAACATCTCAGACTGAGCTCTGAGAGTAGAATCTATGTGCTAACCGTGCCTCTCTTTAGCCCCTACCATGGGGTGAGCAGAGAAAAACCTGACATGTGGAGTTCAGACCTGCAGTATGAAGCGCAGAGAAGCAAAAGAGAAACAAATCAGGTTGACTCAGGAAAAACTGTGCATGGGGATTTTAGAAGGAGCTAGAAGAGGGGAGTTTTTACATCATTTAAAGTTTACAAAGCAGAAGTATTTCACTTCATTCTTCATATGCATTTGGGTTCAGTGTAGTTACTGCAACATGAATAATGTAAAAACATTAAATTGACAGATACATGGATTGCAGAGTATCTGAAAAGAAACCGTAAGACTCGAGCAGTCGGACACAAAAACACTATTAGAGCCTGAAATCACTAATAGCCTGTAGAAGAAAAAAACAATGCAGCTACAATAATTATGTCCACTGTGATCAAAATCTTTGCTGTTAAGAATTAGTTTTCTAATTGTCTCCAAATTCAGACGTTACAAAGCCCTAACTCAGCCCTTTTACTGCAAATATACAACAGTGGAAATGGAACTGTAAGGATTTTGTAAGGAGTTAAAGTTGGATTTTTAAATTAAACAATGAGAATACATTTAAAGTGCTGCCTTTGCGTTCCTTTGGTAGTGTCTTCATTCACATGCAGTGCAATTCTGAGGCCGGGGCCAAAATGAGTCTAACTGCAACAACACAACAAATCTTCAAATTTAAAGTCAGCATTTTAAACTCGTTGCTTGAAATCTACCATTTTAGTCTTGTGCAATGAAAACCACTGTTGCACACCACAGTAATTCCTGACTGTGTATCGACAGCACTGCAGATTTTCATCACACCAAACAACAGCAAGCTTGTTACTGTTAGCGTGTGCAATAGTCACCTGTGATTGGTGTGCACCATATGTGCCAGCAGAGCTGCAGTGAAGACCCAGCCTGTGGTCTTCCACAACCCCCCATAGCCCAGCCTCCTCTCCAGCCCAGCTAGAGTCCGGCTCAAGCCGAGGCCTGCCAGCACACACACTGCAGCATCGCTCTGGAGCCAGAAACGCTCAACCTGCAGGAAGTGACCATACAAGTGTATA